CGCCGTCCCACATTACGTACACGGCGACGAAGAGAATGGCGCACGTGAGCACAACAACAATGTCGTCCCTGGCGGACAATGTAGCTCTAACGGACCCCACGACCAGCGATCAATTTGACGCAGAAGATCTAATAGAGCCGGGGATCCTGACTGACAGCGAGTTGACACCATCCCAGGGCACCAACGACATTCTCAGCTCACCCGAAGAATATGCCACGTACAATAATCAGTCTTACTTTACAGCTGCAACTGATGAACTGCGGAATGATAACTCCACCAGCTCAGCACCGTCCGAAGAGGAAAGTAGCGAATCTCAGCATGCAGTCGTCCGCTTTCTGGTGAGCCACAAGCTGCCATTAATTATCGGTGGATCTTCAGTGGGTGCTGCTTTGCTGCTTATTGTCGGGCTCGTTCTAGTCATTCGCCGCAGGAGGAGAAAAAAGAAGCTCGACTTCCTGAACAGTAAGTGTGGGGTTCTTCCAGTAAAGGCTCTCCCCGCCCCCACCTCTTTGAAGTAGTATTATAGAAACTTTCCTGTGTACTTTTCAGTTTCAATGGACATGGGCATCATGTGATTTGCATTCCATAGTAGTTTATCTTCCGTTTATTGGTCAAACAAGACTGGTGGCATAATTATGGTGGAGGAGGTAGTGTTGGTCTCTGTTGAATTTTCGTAAGACGGATAGAATAATTATAATAAGGAAATTTAGTGTAAGATCTGCCGTCATTTAGATTTAAAGGATATTGGTATAGATAATATTCAGCGGGTACTCAGTTCTGTTTTTGGTGTATTTATTGTCTGTATGTATTTACGTTTATTTAGAGTCTTTCAGCACACCTGCAACCGATGCAGAGGTAGGACGAGCTGTGATGTCTGCCATTACATTGTAATCTTAAACTGTTGTACAGTGCTGCTAAATATAGCCCTATCAGTAGATTCATCAGTGTGTCCTGCGACGGTTCACATAATAGTCTTCGCAGGTCTAGAGCTGCTCGTCGCCAAACGTGGCTTGCACTGACCGGATTCGTTAAGTAAATGTGCGTAGGATTAAGCCTAGTTCACATTCGACGGGGCGCGACGGGACGCGACGTAAGGATCGACGGGAAGCGACGGGACGGTCTGACGGCGTCCAATGTGAACACCAGGAACGGGAACGCAACCGTACTACCGTACAGATCGGGAAGCGACGAGAAGAGTTGGATCGATCCAACTTTTCATACCGTAGACGGGCGTAGACGGGGGCGCAAGCGTACAAAACGGCTGCAATTCGAGTGTTAACAGGAGACGGCGTCGTGCGCCGACTGCTCCCGATTCGTACATGGAAATTTTTAGCATTTCGAACACTGCGCTTCCCATGATAACTCACAGAATGGCTAGCACGATTTGAGTTGAATTTTAGCAACATAAGATCTCATGTCACTTATTGTATTTAGGGATAGTTCAGAAGCGTGACAGACGAACTATTCTATCATTTTCTGGGGCTATTATTTGAATGCCACAACTTTGAGGGCTAATTTTTTGGTCTTCACGAAAAACTGGTATTGTGAACTTGATTCCGCTTCTTTCAAGGAGAAATGTTTTGAAAAGAAGTCCCGAAAAACGAGAAATTAGGTCCAAAAGTCACCCCGTCACGGACCGTGCCTTATGACTCGCGCCGTTCGACGGTGAACGTCGCAACGACTGCTGCATGTCGTGTCGTACGAATCGTACAGGATTTTACAGCTCACCCCAGCCCTCCCGACAAGCCCTTACGTCCCGTACCGTCGGCGTTGCGTCGAATGTGAACTAGGCTTTAGACACCAGATCAGTATGCAGGCCGTAGCCTAGTGATTCTGAGTCTTGGAATGGTCAAGTAAAACTTGGAGTCGGTTGGAGCTATAAGACTGTGAAGTAAGGGAAGTTTTTAATGTTAGAATATCCTTTATTATATTCGGAGGATTGAACTATACACCGTGCCTCTCCTTTTGCTTTTCTCTGTTTCTCCGCAAGGCCGAGAATCGGTTAGGCAGGGACCATCAGACCGCAGCGAATGTAAGGACACCGCATGCATATATTTTGCTTAACACCGCACGTATTCTTAACTCATATTGACCAGGACTTACACACTCCCTGCCACATGACAAGAATAACGCTTTTGCTTACCCTTCTAACTCTTGTTATGTCCTATCTAAAAACCGTTCCAAACCAACTGCATAGAAATCTACAAAATCTGCTCAAATTCAGTCCAGTTTCCACCCCGAGTTCCATTCACCATTTCCAAAAATCCGATCCACAGTTAGATTGTATGATCCTCAGTTCGGCACTACACAGGATAATCATTTCGCCTAGGTGGAATTCTCTGTAACTATCAACTACATGTAAACTTGAACAGAACTGCAAGCAATTACCCCTTAGAGTGCTCAAACTACGGATGTTACCGGGCAATACATGAGGCTCAGTTGCATGTTTGGAGCTTAACAGTACGTGCCAGATCTTCACAAGGCCGAAATAGATGGGTGAAATGCTCATTTCTGCAGGCTGCTAACTCAGCTAGCTAATGCTGCATGATCAGTGCAAGTGCCAATTTTTCACAACTGAAGAACCGCCTTTGCGATAAAGGCCACAGAATTGTAGGCAGCTGCTACATTCTAACATTCTTGATGCACAAGAGGTACACAAAAGGAAGTAAATAGGGCTGTTTTTTGTTGTAACTCAGAGTTTCATGGCAGAACCAATCATCAGACAACATAAGGAGATTAGAAAAAATTCTTGACGTAGACTTCTACATTTGTTTTGCAACCAACCGAACGGATGTTACCGGTATGTAGATATGCTACATTCATACCATCACCCAATGTGAATTTCTCAATTTCCCTATCCAAATTCCAACAGAACGCAAAGGGCAGCATGATGAGTATCTACGAATCTGGGATTGAGCTGCAATCAGCCGAAGGAACAGTCGTCGACTTTCCGGTGGTTCCAGATGAAAATCCATACATGTGTTTACGCTTCGAGACCACCAGTTTTTCGTGCAAAGACCCGCTGGTAAGTGTCGGGTGGTCCTTTAAGTATCTAATTCCGGTCTCCTGTATATTGAGGGCACTCTGCACACCCGCCTTTGTTGCATCCCCAGGCTTCGAGTACATAATTAATATTTCTCCAATGGCTTCAAATTCGTCCTCTACATGAAATCAATTGTTCTGTAATGCGTAAATACTGTTACGCTCAGTGGGTTTCTAGTCCACAGCTGGAACAGTTCAAAGGCGTTAACCATTAAACATGTCTTGACCTTAATCCCAGCCTATGACGACATCTGCTCAAATTGTTATCTACGTTGTATTACAGGCTGTACCAAGTGAAGATGACTACAACCACCTGGCTGGCCTGGGCCTTGTTATTGCAAGACCTGGCTTGAAGGTACGTGAGTGTACAGGTATCCGACTGTATCACGGTAACAAATTCTTCTGAGGTGAATGGGACAACAAATACATGTACACGGGTTTACAGATGGTGCGCTAAACTTTAGACACAATGTCCAGAAATAAACCATTAGTATTGAGTCCTTTTTCTTGCACACTGGTAGATACGCCATTCTAGTGATGGCAATGTACATTACTCCATAGAGCTCAGTTTCGATAGTAACCCTGCGTCTCTAGATTGTCAGCTATAACGGCAGTTTAAACATTCCACTCACCATTTACTCTTTGTCTTCTCTCGTCGCTTTCAATTCCCGTACTATCTCCTATGCAGGATGTTAAAGATACCCAGTGTTCGATGTCATCAGAGTGCTAACAGATGTGTGATGCTGCTTACCTCAAGGAACGGGCATGAAACATACGGACACTTCTATCTGAAATTGGATGAAATGATACATTTATGTTCATATAAATTGGTTGTGTTTGCTTCGGTTGATCATACGTACGCCACGTGAACCCTCGCCAATGAATGTACGTCACCTTTGCACTTTGATGCGATACAATTTTCCTTCCAGGTTCATTTTTTCTCTTTGTATTCTTCTGAATTTGCATCAGTCTCAATAATGGCATAACACAGAATCTCCTTTCCTTTACCTAAGTTATCGTCCACTAACAATTTTAGAATACCAACCTCAGTCTTCACATTTTTCTATGGCCAATTCGCCTGCTTTGGTTTCACAATAGTTGTCAATCCATTTGTAACGAACAGCTTTCGTGGCGAGTAGAAGCAAATTTACAGCACCATCCTTCTACCCTGATCTGCTCTTTTTATTGCCATTAGTTGTATTGAAGTAAGTTCTTTAAATCATGTGCGTTCCTAAGGGAGGTACCTGATAGTTTTGTAGATCGTACGTTTTTCGCGTCTATGTAACAGCAAAACTTTGTCCAGTAGCATTGGAAGTATTTTTTATATTTTTTTGTTGCACTCGAATCTATACTGGGGATATCCGTGCAGGCCATTTTCAATATGTATGAATTGCTTACTGTGAGTGGCGTTTTACATCAGACTTTTCCTGTCCCACGTCATCAACCTACTGTCATTCTATACTTTCAAAACCTGTAATACCTTGTAAGGATAGCTTCAGCTTTCGTTCCATTTCAAATGTGTTCTTGGCCTGTATGGCACGTGTTATTACGTTTCATTTGTTATTTATCTACCGGAGTACCTCGTATACTCACTCCTTTCCGTGAAATGTCAATCTTGAACTACATGATGCTAGTTTTCCTATTTGAGAGCGGGTTTATTCACAACCCCAATTGGGCCAATCGCGTGAAACCATGAAGTAAGAGACAAAGCAAGAATGCAACCCAAATTCAGAAATATAACACAACACTCAATTGCAATGTAAGATTGAACACAAAGGCTTCACAGGAAACCATTACCTAGCTAGATATGCTACTTTAATGCTTTTATAGTGTGTCTTACAAAGTTAAACCCCTTGTTCTGTTACGGTGGACCCTTTTCACTGTGGTTAGCGGTTCTTGCAGTGACATCATAAAATATGCTTTTGTCACATGACGCTGCAGAAAAGCAATGCGCGTGATGTCATTTCATCCAAACAGGCAGATGATGATATAATCGCAAAACCTAACTAAAAAAAGGTTTTTGAGCCTTGGACATTTTATCGGAGTTCCACTGTATTTTAGGAGGTCAGCAGAGGACGAAAAGCATATTAAGGACTAGTTACGTAATGCACCTTGTGTTTCCGTTCCATTGACATTCTGTGTGCGTCAGGTGAAACACACTGGTGCGATTCTCAACAGAAGAATTAAGAGGTTCCTGTAAACAAAAGCCGGTAATTCCGCGCTGCCAGCATGAATTACCTTCAGGATAATGGACACGTTTTACTCTGTATGTAAATAACATGAAAATAGTGTGCCAATTCCCCGAGGAGCTTGGCGGCACTGCCATTACGTTAATGATGCCTGGATTCGAAACGCGCCTGGCAAGCTACCGAAGCACAGCACGCATAATCTCAAAAAGAGGTGGCGTGCTTGATAATCCCACGGGTGTGGCTCAACCTACTGTAGCATTTTCTACGAGTATGGCTGCATCCATTCAGGGCATTAGCAATTGCGCGTGACGCCGGACTCCACAGGACTCCGTGTTACATCTTTCTACGATTTAGTCGTAGATCAGGGATCTATGTGGTTCCTATTGTATTTCAAATAACCCAGTGCATAGTGATATTGGGGGTTTCAAACAGAATTTCGGTTACTGTTTTGTATGTCGTGCAATTGCATCCATTTTACCGATCAACCTGGCCTCCGGGATTTTGGTTTTGCTTTTGATACTTTATCCAATCGATCAAATCCGACATGATTCTGCCTTGTCACGGTGAGTTTGGCCCAGGGTGGGTTGAAGTCATAATAATAATCTGACCATGGTAGTAGTTGGGTCCCGTTGTAGACGTCTCAAACCTCGGTCGTGTTTTGGGCCTATAGTGAGGTGTACACCTGCTAGAAGAGTTCCCAGCATTTTGCAAAGTGTTGGTATAGCCAAAGGAAACCTGCCTACATAATTAGTGAGAAACCAGAGAGATATACTAGCCAATTTTATCACGTTAACTCAGACATGCTCTCAGTAAATAATTTCCATTTTATGATGGGAAATATTTTTATGTTTTCATTTCAAAGATGCCCATTACTGCCTAAGTAGTGAAATGACGAAACGGATGACTTGATCGAGGTGGTCATCATTCTGTATCCGAACCAAAAATTCTCTGTTGAGCGCCACCTACTAGAAGCCGATACTGCCCCTGAAAGCGGATTGTCAGCTAACCCTGCCAACTAAACATTCATACTGTTCTTGAATCGTGTCTGCTTAACAGATGTACCCTTTACGATAACAATGATGGCAGGATTACGTCTTTATCCGGTCAATAACTCGTGGCAAACATCCACCCATTTAGGTACCACTGGCTGCAAGATGACCAGCCCCTCATTCTCTTTTCTTTGGCTGTGTTTTGGTGTACATGACTATGTACTAGTATGCATATTTAGTATGTACAGGTGCATGCGTGTAAGCACCTCATTCCCGCTCATTCCTCATTCTTCCTTCCATCTGGCAACTGCTGGTTTTATACATTGTGTAATTACTCAGCCTTATTTGCAATAATAATAATTATAAAATAATGTACATTTAACCTCATCGCTGTTCTGTTTTGAACACTGGTATCATTTCAGATTTTAGGAAGGTTAGTTGAGGCCACATGGATGCAGTGAATGGGATTTTCGGTCTTTGTCAACTTTGTGGTGGGTCTGATCTACTCACCTCTCACTACTTTAGGAGCTGCATCTCCGCCTTGATCCAAGAGCGTGGTGGCGATCCCGGGGATGCTGAAAACTCTGTTTTTATTTGTAGTCAAGGCTAAGAGTCATCCTGTTTCTTAGATCCGTCTGGGACATTCTAATGTCCACGCATGCCCCGATGAGATTTGTGTGGTGTGAGCAGGACGATCACTTCCTAGAAACCCATTTATTGCATCGTTCAAGTCGAAGCGGGCCACTGAAGAACTGAGTCAGTCCAATATGGAAATGAATATCACCGTTTGGGTATTCACGATCGCGTTTATAGGAATAGCCGATTCGGGGAGCAGGAACGGAGGAACGTCTTCTCCGAAGTCAACTAAAGCCGCTGGAATCCCAACACAACATGGTACGTTTAATAATTATTATTACTTGTATGCAGTCTCGATTTGAGGCATCAACAAAGACGATATTTCAAAGAATGGGTGTTGCTCTCAATGTGGAAACTCGCGCTTGCAGACTTGACTTGACTCAACTGCTATCCGCACCCCGCTACATGTTCATGCAGCAGACCTTCCACTAGGCAAGCTCCATTTTCAGCCCATCCAGTCGGGACTCAGTCAAGTACTAGTAACACGCATGCAGCGCTACGTACATATGCAGCGAAGTCAATGAAGGCTTGTAGCCTCTTGTTTGTTTGCAATCTCGGCTGATCCATTCCAGTCGTGACTCAGTCAAGTCACAAGTATATAGCACTTAATACATATACAGTGGAGTATATCAGGGTGTGTAGCCTCTTGTTTGTTTACAATCTCGTTTATTGTGACTGGTCCATCGTGCGGTTTGTGCTGTTCCATTCGTGAAGGGGACAATTTAATACCGTCAAGTACATGGTCAATTCCGATTCGGGTCATGCCGAATTGAGTCCTGGGCAAAGTGGCGAATTCCCATAAGACGGGCGCTGGTGTCCACCGCGGTGAAATGGGTTTCGCTGATGTGGTAGCACACCAGTCAAATACATTCCCTTCTTTCGCTTATCTTCACCTAGTGGCAAATGTTACACAACCCATAATCATACTGCCTTATGCAGACATAGGGCGCTAGTTCACAAATCGAGCTGTAGTGGGTCTCTCTTCTGTGTGACCACATGTAGCAGGCCTTATTCGCGCCATTAGTGCCCCCAGTCGATCTATCTCTGGCTCTCTCTCTCCATCTCTCTCTTTAGAAGAGTGGATTCTCTAATATAGAAGTATAATGTCCTCCTCTAGGTACCACATGTTCCCTACTGTTATGCTGGCATACCTGATTTGTTGAATGGTAATATTAATTTTATCAATATCACATGTTTTAGTACAGTATATCGCATGTACGCTGTTCTGCAATTCAATATAGGGACTGTGAATGTGACTGCAAGCTGCGAGATGTATAATAGAAGTTTCTCGGTCCGCGTCAGACTCGGCTAGAAGCCGAGTTTTTCGTATTCGTAAGAACGCCACCATCCTTCAAGGGTCCGAGTAAGGCATATTTCATCTTTCAACATTCAAAGCACCGCATTTGAACTGGATGGTGCCTGCGTCATTCCTATTTTTTAAGACACTAATGAAATTATTGTCTCCATGTAGTTGTCAAGAGTTGACGAGTGTGGTTGCGAGTTTTTTTACGTCTGACGTCTTGCTCCCCCAACCGGGAGCATGGCGTCCATTGACTTAGGAATTTTGGATAGTGAAGGCTTGGAGTCACTGGCAAAGGCCAATAACGTCAAATGGGCCGGCCTGAGCCGGGTGCAATTGGAAGCCGCCCTGAGGGGAAAGTTGCAACCACTGGACGATCAGATCGACACACACAGGGTCACAGAGCAGGCAGGAGGATGTGAATGTACCAGTACTGATGCTACTGCGCTAACGAAGATGATGGTTGACCTGATGGAGACGGTCCGAAACCTGGTAGCAGAAGTTTCCGACCTACGAAAAATCTCTCTCGAAAACGAGAAAGGAAAAGATGCCGCCATTGCATAGCTCAGGAAGGAGCTTCGCGCCCTGACACAACACCACCAACCCATCGATGTCTCTAATCGCGCCCTCGACAGCCACCAGGATGAGTACTCGTACCGTGCAGCTACAAACATTCCCGCCACGGGTGTACCAGTGCCCGCATCTGCACCAACAGGGCTTGAATCCGCAGCTCTGGGCGAGACGTACGCTAGTCGTACCCTCTCTACACCCCGAACAAGCAACGCCAGTCGTACTACTGACAAGCCTGTCAGCACCAAGTACGACTGGTCAATCGTACGTGAAGCCGCCAACCGCCACAGGAAGCCCGCAGATCTGCGTGGAGGTAAGAAAATAACACGCAGAGTTGTATTCGTCGGGGGCATCAATATCAACTGCAGTGCTGATGATCTTGTTGCGTACTGTAGAAAGAAGAATGTGGAAGTTACTGGCTGTAAACTAATCCCCTTCAGAACAGTGTACGGCACACGTTGTACGCACATCTGACAGTTGCTGAGCATGACGAAAGAAATGTTCTGGAAAACGATTTCTGGCCCGAGCATGTAAGGGCCCGGTCACACATGCACTCGAAAGTAGCGTATACGCTGAAGCGAGGTCGCAGGAGCGAAAAATGGCATGGCAACGGCGAAAAGCGGAACTTCCGCTTCAGCGGAAACTCCAATCCGCTTCCTCCAAAATTTTCGAAGCGAGACTGTCGCTTCTGCGGATTCGCTTCAGCGGAAAATACCACGGTCTACTGTATATGGACTTGCTACGAGAAATTTGTATGCGTATGATGTCCATGCAACAAAAATGCGTGCAAGATAGTCATTGACCTCGTCTATTCTCCGTACCGTATGCACCACAGTCTCATTTTCCGCCAAAGTACAGTTGCGCTCGGTGAAATCCGGCCCAAAGTGCATAACTGACGCCCAGTACTGATGCGGCCCTTGACGCCCTCAAAGTTGTACAAGTGCTAGTGTGCACGTGTACCGTATGAACTGTACCAAAGTGTAAAAAACCGCGCCAAACAAAGACAAGTGTAACATTCATTTCAGTTCACTGTTCAGCACAAGTAAAGAAGACGGAGATCGTTTCGGAGCAGTTTATTTCATACACAGAGCAGCAGGGCTTCAATATTTTGTGTGGCCACCGTCTGCCTCGATTAGGGCTTCAACACGACGTGGCATTGACTCCACGTATGGCGGGGAAACCGTGTCAGGAGCCAACGAGTCCCACTCCAGGTGTAGTGCATGCACCAGCTGGTCAGCATTCTCGCAGCGATGTGGAATTATTCTCTTCTTGAGAGGAGCCCACACATTGGGAATGGCCATGTCCTTCTTCTCTATCTCTTCTTGATCTTGAGCTGTACTTCGTGAGGTGAATGAAACAGGAAAGACATTTCGAAATGTTTTTACTTTTTTACACGTGCCCTCCGAACTTTTACACGAGGTGCGTACAGTTGAGTTCGTACACACAAATCGCTTGTGATGTAATGGGAGCTGGCTTCGCGGCGCCGGCTTTGCACTTCAGGCCGGATTTCACCGAGCGCAACTGTAGGAGTTGTGCCCTGTTTGTATGTGTGACCACACACACGTGGTTTCGCTGGAGCGACACCATTGGACACCAGGCTCGCTGCCGCCGAACCTCGTCGCCGAAGCGAATCCCATTGCATGTGTGACCGGGCCCTAACAGCACGAGAATGGAAGTTCAAGAACCCACCCCTCCCCAAGCAATCATAAACTGTGATGTTGAATCCACACGCACCCATCTTTTTTCCCACTAGGACCACATCGACACCATCATCTAACAGTGTGTCAGGGCAACTGAACCCAGATGCACCTACCTTCACTCTCCCATCACCATACGATACCTCAGCCTTCATACCAAACAAACATCCCCATCATATTATGCGGCTAGCCACAACCAATGCTCGCAGCTGGTACTCAAAGGCCGATGAAATTAATAACATATTTGGTACTTCAGACATGGACATATTAGGCATCACCGAAATCTGGCTAACTCAGAAAATTCCTAACTCTGTATTATTGCCAACTGCCGCTTTTGACATAGTACGAAGAGACCGCCCATCTCATGTCGCTCTGCGTGGCGGTGGTGTTGCTTTCTTACTCCGACCAGGACTCGCCTACGTCAGACGAGCAGACCTTGAGCCTGCCAACACCAACCTTGAAATCCTATGCATTCAACTTAAAAATGGCCACAAAGATGTCTATATTTTCTGCTGTTATCGGCCACCAAGGCAGGATCATTCAACCTTCCTCTCTGGCTTGCGTGAGTCCATCTCTTCCATTACGGACACTACTGCTTCCATTATCATCCTCGGTGACTTTAATGCCCGGCACAATGAATGGTATAGGCAGGATCCGAACACTGCTGCTGGAAGATGCCTTGTCGAACTGCTGGATGATACTGGATTTACACAACTTGTACGCGACCAACCAACACGTTTCTCCGCCGCAGGTCAGAGCTCTTCTCTCCTGGACCTTGTTCTCTGTAACCAACCATTCCTCATCCACAACCTCACCACACTTCTCCTGCCTCTGATCACTGTCCTGTGGTATTTGATTTCGCAATACAGACTCGTTCCCAGCAACCAGTGCACTCTGATTTGCTCGTGAACAACTATGCAGCCACAGACTGGCCCGCACTTAATAACCACCTTTGGAGCCTCCCTCTTCTCGCTGCTGTACAAGAAGCCGGTAGTACAGATGAAGCATGGGTCTCCTGGCGAACACTAGTTGACACAACCATATCATCTTTTGTTCCGAAGGTTAGAAAGCGAACAAATCGTTATGGAAAGCCTTGGTTCACCTCTGTGCACCATCGCCTCCGTCAACGTCGAGATCGACTATTTGCTGCAGCAAAACGCGTTAATACCCCTGAGTGCAAGGCTGCTTATCGCATTTCAAGGAACTGCCTCGTCGCTGCCATCCGTAAAGCTAAACGTCACTTCTACGACCAGATGTCAGACAGCCTTCATGCAGATCGAGGATCTTATGACTGGTAGAAGAGAGTCAAGAAAATGTGCGACATCAATTGTCCTCACACCCCCTATACCTGATATCCAAGGAGTTGATACCTTAGCGGTTACCGACCCTGAGAAAGCGAATATCTTCTGTTACCAGTTCGCCAAGAACAGTCAAGCTACGCCGTCGTCGGATGCAGATTATCGTGATCTCGCCATGCCTTCTTCTTCGGAAACATTTGCCATCCGCCCTTTGTCTATCGTAGAAGTATTCAAGGCACTGTCGACCCTAAGTGTGCGAAAGTCTACAGCTGGCAGTCTTCCTAACATGATCCTACGAGAGACAGCAGAAGTGCTCGCCCAATCACTCACTGCTCTCTTTAACCGCTGCACCACTTACCGATCCCAACCCCTTGAGTGGAAAGGGAAGTCGCAATGACCCTGCTAACTACCGGCCGATATCTCTGCTGAATGGCGTGGCAAAATTCTACGAAGCGTTAATCAGCCGCCAGGTGTACGCGTTTGTAGCGAAACACAAACTCCTGTCGCCGAAACAGTTCGGGTTTCGCCACCACCGAAGCACGGTTGACCAACTTGTGTATGTCACATCAACTGTCAGCTCTGCATTTGATAACCGGGCCCAGTGTGATGCCGTCTTTCTCGATTTCTCGAAGGCATTTGATCGTACCAGCCATCGCCTCCCAGCCTCATGTCTGTCCGGTTGGTGTGCACCTGACTCATTCGCGTGGCTGATGGACTTCCTGGAAGGCCGATCGATGTCTGTGCGGGTCGGCACTGAATTATCAACCAATATGTCGCTCACCGCTGGTGTGCCACAAGGCTTCCACCTAGGCCCTCTATTGGTCAACCTTTCTATCAACTCCCTTCTCAGCATTCCCCAATCCAGCGATCTGACCCTGTTTGCGGATGATTCCAACATGGTCTGCGTTTCTCCGCCTACTGTCGTACCCGCCGCGCACACTGCCTCCCTGAAACTAGACCTTGATAGATGTGTGAACCGGTCCCATAAAGCTGAAGCAGTTTTCAATGCTAACAAATGTGTCCATGTTCCCTTTTGCAAACCTAAATCAAACCCACCTGATCCCAGGACCATCACCATGGCCGGTACGTCACTGACCCAGCCCTCTTCCCACCGCCATCTGGGCATCATCCTCACTCCTTCACTCAATCTGTCCCCCATATTCAACACATTACAAGCAAATTTCGAGGTCGGGTTTTTCTTTTAAACCATATGTCCAACTTCCTTCCTTTTCCTGCTGTGAATCTTTTGTATAAATGTTATGTTCGTCCCCTCCTTCAATATGGTGTTCCCGTTTGGATGTTTTCCGTTTCAGCCACCATGTCCACAACCCTTGATAAACTGCAGGCTACTGCTGCTAGAGCATACTTAAATAGTAAAGTCAAGCGTCGGCCTGACTGGACGACTTCCAAAGAAGACCTCAATGTTCTGTCCTCTTGCGAATCTTTAGCATGGCGACGGCAGATTCTTGGCCTTGTCTATTTCCACCATGTTTTCTCCCAATATTCCTCCTTGTTTGTCTCACTTCCAGCTACCCTCTTCCCAAAGCAGTCGTCACCCTTCATCCATAATTCTTCGTAAAGCTGGCACGTACTTTCGTAAATCAACCCTTTTTTCTTTGAGTGTGGCCTGGAATAAACTTCCTGAAGATATTCGTTCACTCTCTACAACAGCGAAATTTAGTATTACTGTTCGTCGGTATCATTCGCAATCTATGTTTTCTTTGAAAGGTGTTCCTGACTTTTGCGTCTAGGCTAACCACATCTATGATAGTTTCAATAGTTTGTGTATATGTCAGTTATAGTAGTCCGCAATGCTGCTTTTCTAATTCTCACTATGATTAGTATGCAATGTACTACCCGAAGTACTGAATATACTTCTTTTGTATTTATGTATCTTCTTCCTCTTCTCCCTTACGAACATACTTTCTCATTTTCCATACTTACTTAGGAAACTCCCTTCGATAGGCATCTATTTGCCTCTGGAGGATCCGCGAAATAAAAATCAATCAATCAAAGTAGTTAAACAATCGACGAGGAGACAATAGTCGTAAAATGGCAATAAATAAGATAAATTGTGCACTCATAACAACAGCAAAAATGAAGAAAGTCAAGTTCCATAACGTTTTCTTGTGACTGTCATCAGTGGAACGCCGTCACATAAAAATGTAATAACTAAAACACACACTTATATACATGTAGCTAATATGGTTTCAGGTAGAAATACAGCAGCTAACAAGTACAAAAAGCGAAGTTAGCACCTTTGCAATGTGTGAATATAGTGTATGTGAGAAAGGTAGGTTGGAATGGAGGTTGGAATGGAGGTGGAGGATGAGAGTAGTGATGAGGAGGAGTTTGATGTTGACAAGAGGAAGTCTGCAGTGTACAAGCATTTGGTGTCCAGTCCAGAATGTCGTAAGGTGTTTGACGATTCCTGGTTTAGTGTTATTCGTTGCGCACGTTTCTTCAAGCAATTGCAGGTGTTGAAAGCTGTGTACATTCGTACTCGTGACCCTGTGCTATGTAAACAGAAAGAAAACGTTGTATCACTCACACTCTTCAAATAATACACACGCACCATTACATTCATTCACACAGTATCACATTCATCTGCCACTACCTTTCTCACATACACTATATTCACACATTGCAAAGGTGCTAACTTCGCTTTTTGTACTTGTTAGCTGCTGTATTTCTACCTGAAACCATATTAGCTACATGTATATAAGTGTGTGTTTTAGTTATTACATTTTTATGTGACGGCGTTCCACTGATGACAGTCACAAGAAAACGTTATGGAACTTGACTTTCTTCATTTTTGCTGTTGTTATGAGTGCACAATTTATCTTATTTATTGCCATTTTACAAACAAAGTAGGTTACCAGATTAAGAAAATTCGGCGATAATTTGTGTATATTTCTGTGTTCTTCCCCCCCCCCCCCTATGTCTTCAGTTACACTTCAAAATGTGTGGATAAGAAGGGTACCTTCGCACACGTCTGTATATGCCGTCCTAAGGAATCCCATACTTGACCTCAGTAAGCCGACACGAACCCCAAGACTGCACACCACGACCATCCAGCCGGTCCCAGTTATGTCAAGGCCGTTTATCGTAGCACCAAGTATTATCACGGATAGTGGATTACCGTCTTCAGCGTTCTCTTCATCCGCAAGCACGAGAGCAACAGAATTTGGTGAGTGCCCTGCAGTTGCCTTTCCTCGGAAATAAACACCCTTTTGCATAAGTGGGGAATGTTGATATTTTTGGAACAAAGCGGCAGCTTTTCCAATTATTCAAGTGATAAGGTCATGCATTCTGACGTCATCCACAGCAGTCTAGAAGAAAAATCGATATATAGGAAACAAAAACAGAAATAAAAATTTTCCTTCACTTTAGGGTGGTGATTGAGCCTTGGACAGGTACTCATATCGATGTATCCAGTGTATGTTTGTTCTTTTGTAATGTTCAATCTCTTAGACACCGCATCAAGTACAGTTCCAACGCAAGGCTCTCTGGTAGCCTCATCTGGAAAACCCCTCTTGCCAAGTACAATATCTCTTTCCAAGTCGCCATCGAAAACGTCCAGTCCACAGTACACTACCGGTAGAATGCTCTCCAAACCACCAACAGAGAAAAGGTTTACCTTCACGTCCCAAGGGCTACCAGCATTTTCCACTTCATCGGACGGCGTCAGGACCTTACCAATATCCTCACCGGTGGGTGGGAATCCGCCAAAAGAGGCAATACGTACGTGGAAGGTTCAATGGAAATAGTGGAGGAGTTTCTTCAAATACAACCATGCCTATAAATTATAAGGGCACTGGTACATGTATAGCATGTATATAGCTTGATCTAATAATGGCAGGGCCTGCAAGGTTTACAACGTAGTTTCTCTGTAATCTATGACCATGGTAGGTGCAGTCCATTTTCTCATATTGCAACTCTCTCAAACCACTGGGTAATCATCGTACCGTTGAGTTCATATGTGTACACGACGCAGGGCTTCTCTCAGTAAACACTATGAAGTAACCGTTGGTGGATATTGCCGGCGGAAAAAGCGACAGAATTTGGTACATTTTCTGGTATGTTTCATGCATGTTTGGTATGTGGATGAAGAGTACTAGCAAATTTCGAGGAATTGCTCGCCATCAGGTTTGTATGTTGCTGTCAATTGCACTGCTTTTCGAGCCGAATCTGCCAATTTGTCGAGCATTTTTAAGCCTGCTGCTAGTTAGTGTAAGGCGGAAATATGAAGTCAGTCAGATAACTAAATGCTACCGAAATGATATGTAGTCTCCCTGTACTAAATCAGCGTTGTCCTAGTGTTGGTGCGGTGAATTTATTCGGTCGAAAAGCGCATGTGTGTCGTTGGGAGGATGGACTGTACTGATTACGTTCGGGCCAAACGTTTCTTCCTACCGTCGATCAATAACACATCCCTGGTTAGCAATTTACATGTATTTCCATGAGGAAGATCAATCAAATTTATCGAATGAATGATCGGATGAATATGTTTAACTGCACATCTGTACACATACACTAACCTACAATCTGCTCTATCTTACGTAGTGGGATTTGCTAATATTTAAAACACTTCCACAGGCCTGGTCCAGAGCCTGGTCCAGAGCTAGTCGGATACGGAAAAACGATGAAAGTCGGAATGGACTGTTTTAAACTGTGTTGAAAAAGAGAGGACAAATTGTGCAGGAAACATACGCAGACTTTAAAAACTTACATGTAAATTCTTACAGTGTCCACAGAACAATTTTTCCTCTTTACTGTAATGTCAGAGCTGTCATTTCCACAACAATTGTGTTAATGTAATGAGGCGGAGCTCTTTTTCTCCCAATTTTGTGCCTCTCGTAGGGGTGGTGAGCAATGGTAGTTCATCGGGGGTGGTGATTGGCGTTGCGATTGGGTCGTTTGCAACTGGCTTCCTCACAGCGGGTTTGGTTATCAAGCTCTACCTACGCAGCAGATCAAAGACGTATGGAAGAAAGGATGGATCACAGCTCTGCCATGATGGTGTGCGTAGTAGCATTACTGAAACGCCAGTAGCCATGACGGAGAGTGAGCTGTACGGGAACAGAGCGGCAGAGCCGGAGCAAAGCAACTGTGACGACGGTGTGTACACGTATGTTGCTTACTAAGCGCACGTAGATATTGCTGAAGACGTGCCACACGAATCTTTACTTACACCATACACTGGAGTGTCCTTTTCTACTTGTTGAATACCTTCTACAAACACTGTTCTATTTTCCTTGCGCTGTTGCAATCACCTCGCTCTTCGACTTAAGACTTAACATTAGAGGAAAACGTTTAAGAATTACATGATATTGAAGAGCCTGAAGTTTGTCCTTTTCTCAGTTTTCGCGTTCTTGTTCACGAGGAAACTGTTGTTGCACGTACATAATTGTAAGATAATTGTATGGTGCTCCATTCTATTCTTGAAACGTGGAGTGATGAAACTGCTCCCGTTCGTCCTTTCATTTGTGTACTTTGTACTTAGCCTTTGGCAACTTGAGTCCTCTACTGACGGCGGATGAACATCACATTGTAATAATCAACTGTAGTCAGGCACGCATGCATTGACCTCAATTTCCCCAACTGTATTTGCGACCAATTTTTGCCATTCTCTATGACCTCGCATTGCAGCCATATTCACCAATTGCCACGCTTGTTTTACGGCAACACGACTGCATCGCATTTCCAGCTTCAACCTCCATCTCTTGCTGAGTACTTGCAATGAAATCAAGAATCAAGTACCCATGCATGTAATCAATTCCTACTTGTAATAAGTTGTTGCTTCCTTTGTTGTAGACTTATACATAATTATTATTCGTTTCAGAACACAGTCTTCTTCATCATGTGAGTGTAGTTTTTGGTCAGCTCGGGACCTGGCGTAACAAGTTGTCGCCGATATTAACACTCAGCTGATATTACATAGCCAAAGCCTAATGTTTGCCAGGTAGAAGTTCTAACTTTCCTTGGAAAATGCTGAACAGATACCTCATGATTCTGTCTAGCTGCAGAAATAGGGGGAGTATGCTAAGGAGAAAGAGGAATAGAGCACAGAGACATAATGAATGGGAAATGTATTGCTAAAGTGCCATGCCAGCAGCCTGTAGTACACAAAAAGACTTGGAACTGAAAAGGTCAGGGAGAAGAATTAGCAGGGTCAATGCAGATCAGCTTAAAGAGAGCAACATCTTGCTAGAAATAGAACAGCACTGGTCTAAAGCAAATATCCGGATGCAGTACTGCCAACCAACTCGGTCTGCTTTGCATACTGCGACTTCTGATTTTGCAGCCTTTCTGTACATGTACTACCAATGTAATGTCTTGTGCATTGCTTGTATTGTGTTTACACTCGCATGCTTATCAGTGGCTGAATTTGCTAGTACAAAACATGTGTGACTTGTACCAGGACATTATGTTTTGTGCTACATGCAGTCGAAACATGGCATGCACTTTCTTTGGCACAGGGATATTCATCGCTCAGTTGGTGCTTGCCATGCTTCTGCACACAAAAAATCGCAAAACCTAAATATTCAGACTGAAGGGAAGGCAATACGAGTTAAGACAGTGCGATTCCAGACCCACCTAATCAGTTGAGGTTTGTGAACTATTGTTAAAGTGCAACTCACTGAGTACGAGTCTACCCAGGCAAGACGTACACCTGATTAGTAACTTTAACACTCCCCAGGTGTACATGTACATTTTATCCGAGTTCCACTGTATTTGAGGAGGACAGAACAGCACGAAAACCATATCGAGGACTAGGTACGTCATGTACCTTGTGTTTCCATCCCATTGACATTCTGTGTGCGTCAGGTGAAACACACTGGTGCGATTCTCAACAGAAGAAGTGAGAGGTTCCTGTAAACAAAAGCCGGTGATTCCACACTGCCAGCATGAATTACCTTCAGGACAATGGACACGTTTTACTCTGCATATGAATAACATGAGAATAATATGCCAATTCACCGGAGAGCTTGGCGGCACTGCAATTAAATTACTGATACATGGATTCCTAAGGCACCTGGCAAGCTACCGAAATACAGCAGACATATATCTCAAAGGTAGTTTGCTTGATAATCCCGCGCATCAGGCTCAACATACTGTAGCGCTTCATACGAGTATGGCTGTATCTATTCAGGGCACCAGCACTTGTGCGTAACGGTGTACCCCACAGGATTCGGTGTTACATCTTTCCACGGTTTAGTCGTAGATCAGGGGTGTATGTGGTTGCTTTCGTTCTTCAAATAACCCAATGCATCGTGATATTGGGAGTTTCAAACAGAATTTCGGTTTCTGTTTTGTATGTCGTGCAATTGCATCCATTTTACCGATCAACCTGGTCTCCGGGATTTTGGTTCTGATTTTAATACTTGATCCACTGGATCAAATCCACCATGATTCTGTCTAGTAACGATGCGGTCTACCCAGGGTGGGTTGAGGTCAAATCACCATGGCGGTAGTTAGGTCCCGCTGTAGACGTCTCTAACCTCAGTCGTGTTTTGGGCCTATAGTGAGTTGTACACCTGCTAGAGGGGTTTCATAACAGTGTGCATCAAATCCTTTGCATAGTGTTGGGATAGCCAAAGGAAACCTGCGTACATAATTTGAGGGAAAACAGAGAGATAAAACTAGCCAATCATATCCGGTTAACTAAGACATGCTCTCAGTTAATGATTTCCATTTTATGAATATATTTCAATATTTTCAATTCAAAGATGCCCATTACCGTCTAAGTAGTGAAATGAAGAAACTGATGACTTGATCGAGGTGGTCATCATTCAGTATCAGAATTCAAACATCTCTGTCGACCGCCACCTACTATAAGCCGATACTGCCCCTGAAAGCGGATTGCCAGCTAAGCATGCCAACTAAACATTCATACTGTTCTTGAATGGTGTCTGCTTAACAGATGTACCCTTTAAGATAACAATGATGGCGGATTACGTCTTTATCCGGTCTATAACTCGTGGAAAACACCCACCCATTGAGGTACCACTGGCTCCATGCTGTTCTCTTTTGTTTGGCTGTGTTTTAATCTACATGAATAAAGTAACCAACATCCTAAAATTCAACAACTTCCCAGAGTCAGTTATAGTTTCGGCACGTGAACGAGCTATGCGCCCCCGACGTGTCAGAGTGCAGAATGAATACCGTGTCACCCTCAACCTACCGTTTCACACCGAGTATATCCACAACAAAATTCATAAATTACTCCGGAAGTACAAGATAAATGCCCAGCTGATTTACAGTGTTATTTCTGTAACTTAGATTTTCTATAATAGTTCAATTTTTGTTTCAGTGTCCTTTAGTACAACGACGATTCCTGATGAGTGTTGTACGAAAACTTGTTTGAATCCGTATATTTTTCCCTACACCATTTCTTCATATTTGCATCGTTTTATTGCACATCGTCTTCACCGTTTTTACATTGCATGAATAAAGTACACAAATGTCGGTTCAGCTAGTTTTATTGATTGCGGTTATCAAAATAAAATAAATAAAATAAAAAAGTAACAAGTATGCAGAACTACGTTCATATACAGCGAAGTCAATAAAGGCGTGTAGCCTCTTGTTTGTTTACAATCCCGTTTATTGTGACTGGTCCATGGTGCTGTTGGTGCTGTTCCAGTCGTAAAGAGAACAATTATAAAAGAGAGCTTGTCTGAGGAAACCAGAACATTTGTGCAAGTCGATCTCTCAGATTTCGCTCAAATTTTGCACGTAGGTTTTCTTTGGGGTGTAGATCGACATTCCAAAGCCCGCGCAAAATCTTTTGAAGGGAACCATGAAACTGGCAAACACCTCAATATTGGCCCAATATTGGCACGATTTATGGGTCTACAAACGAGCAAAGTGACTGAATTTTTAGTGTAGTTTTTGATTGTACTGCAAGAGGAATGATGAAATTACGTGCCTCGTGATGTAGAATAATGCTTTCTGGTGCACGACACAATGCAAACGATCACGATCATTTCTGACGCGCTATTCCAAACGGACCATGATGGAGGAGGTGAGATGCGTTATATTTCTTGCACGCTCTGCTCAGAACATGCAGAAGCTATCGTTATAGCGCTAGCAGTATTGCATTGGCAAGAATTCTTTGATATATTTCCTATTGCAGTAAGAACAGCGATGCATTTTTTCACACTAACCAGTCACCTAGCTCATCCCAAACATGGTTCAACAGGAACTACGGCTAGTTTACATGCTGATTATCGACGTAGATCTGCAACAGCAAGGAATGACCGTAGTCCATGCCATCAAGGTCCCTTGGAGTTGACCAGCGCGCAGCCTACACTGCAGTACTGGTCTCATGGGGCATGTGGCCCGTCCACATGGCAGATTTCTTACGTCATGAACAACGTTATTTTGACCCTACTCGCCTTAGTCTTTGTGCTACATGTTGAGGGAAAGTCCCGGCTTGAAGGCCTACAACACGACATGCGTGCTCTGGACCTGGACATCAAGACTTGATCTAATCTAGATCAATGGGTGATCCATGTAAGTGCAGGTGCGCTTGATCAAGGTGACTCGGAACAACTTCTGAACCGTGATCTACGAGACCTGGTATTCTTGTGTGACGAGGCACGTGATTTCATCATTCCTCTTGCAGTAGAATCCAAAAACCTACACACAAAAATTCAGTCACTTTTGCATCAACTGTTGCACCGAAAAATGTTGCTGGCGCAAGGAGAAGCTTGTCGTTTGGAGTGACAAGTGATCACCGCTGCTTTTCCTTGTCAGAGTCAACAATACACTTTGTGCTGCAGCGTTGGGAGTGGTGTTGGAGTAGAAATTGCTGACTAGACGTCGCGGAGGGGCGAGATTTCTTGTGCAGGTATGAGTTTGGACGTATTTCAGACTGATCGAGTGGAAAAATTCAAACTTGTTTATTTCAAGAAAACCCAAAAACGATGATGGGGGACCTGTCCTCAGTGCTAGAAGAGGTGTTCTACTATCTGACGGTGTATAGTGTTTGCTAATTGAGGACGTAGCTCGCTGTTTTATCAGCGCTTGTAATTTGGCTATTTTCAAGACGATCATTTGTGGCGTCAAGGGATGATTGCCCTCGTTTTCTGGGATGCTGGCGTGGCTAATCGGTTCTGCCCCAAGAACTCTTCGAAGGTGAGGTAATGTTGGCTTGATGGAGTTTTGTTCGTAGCTTGTTCTTGTACGATGTGCCGTGGCTCATTTGTAGACCCATAAATCGTGCCAATATTGGGCCAGTAATGAGGGGTATGCCAATTTCACGGTTCCCTTCAAAAGATTTTGCGCGGGCTTTGGAATGTCGATCTACACCACAAAGTAAACCTTCCTGCAAAATTTGAGCGAATCTGAGAGATCGGCTTGCACAAATGTTCTGGTTTTCTCATACATGCTCTCTTAACACCCTTAACTACATGGTCAATTTCGATTGGGGTCATGCCGAATTGAGTCCTGTGCGACGTGGGAATGCTGATTAGATTTCGCTGATGTAGGAACACACCAGCCTAATACATCCCCTTCTGTCGCATACCCTTCTCCTGGTACCTGTTTATCGGAGTTTTAAAAGAGTGATTTCACCTAGTGGCAATTGTTACACATCTCATAATTACTAGTACACTGTATTTTGCAGACATAGGGCGCTAGTTTACAAACTCAGCTATAGTGGATCTCACTAGATTCTCTCTCTTCTATGTGACCACATGCAGCAGGCCTTACTCGCACGATTAGCGCCCCCCCCCCCCCCCCCCATCTCTCTCTCTCTCTCTCTCTCTCTCTCTCCCTTACTCTTTAGAAGAGTGCCCTATCTCATATAGAAGTAAAATTGAATGGAAAGTTTCCTCCCCAAGCTACCAA